TGATGCCGTGCGTGAAGCATTTGTACATTGCCCTTTTTTGAATTTAATATTTTAGCATCGTTCTACATACATGTTAATTATTTTCCAGGGAAAATTCGTGAAATAAGTAACAGCTGAGTTATAATAATAGAAATATAAATATCATAGATAATTTTTGCAATTTATCTATAATTATTCTTTAAACACGATATCTAAGTTATTTAATTAAAAAACATGTAAATCCTTACCATCAAAAAGATAAGTCCTTTCACTTCGGAGTTCCGAATGACAATGAAGACTGAACGATAAGTGAACGGTGAACGCAAGGAGAACGCAAAGTAAACGGAACGAAGAGCGAACGGTGAACGTTTTGTGAACGGTGAACGTGAGCGCACGGTGAACGGTGAACGCAATGCTGTGAACGAAGAGCGAACGGTGAACGCACGCTGAACGAACGGTGAACGAACGGTGAGCGAACGGTGAGCGAACGGAAAAATGGGAAAGTAGAACGTTTCAGGGACTGTATATGATGAACAATTTTACACCATTTTAACAATGTAATATCCAAAACATTCTTCCTTATCTCTCACAATTGAAATATACCTGGAGCATCATGATTCAATCTTGTTGTTATTTAGAAACTGTTCTACAAGCGGAGAATCTTGGACGCTGCTCTGACTTGTGAGATTTTGGAGGAGGGGGATAGGAGTTACCTGGAACATTTCTCTGGACTGAAGCAGACAGCTGATCCGGGGAAACAGGACCCAGCACTGACATCTAAAATGTTTGTATCTGTATGTAACACACATACAGTAAAACTTGTTTATACCAAAGTCATAGGAATATGTGAATTTACTTCTGACATTATTTTAGCAAATTCACTAAATATCTGATTACACTGTACAAGTTTTACTGTACTTTTGGAGCAAATTTGTACTTTGATTAGATTCAGAATAATGTAAATTATTTTACACAGACATTCAAATTTTTTTAACTTACATTATCAGATATCCTTTCAAGATACCATCTTTTGTATTTTGTTAAAGACTATCTATTTGAACTTCAACAAAATTTGGGAAAAAATCAGTCAACATAGTTTTACTAGGGTTATCTCAAAATTCTGTTCAAAACCAAAATTATATGAGATAAATAGAACATCTACACTGGTCTATGATTGTGTGATTTCATATTATTTTTCTTTATCCAACTTGATGAAATGGTGAATGTTTTCTTGGCAGCCTCATGAATAAGCACCATTTCAACTCAGATAAAGAAAATATACCATACTATCAGATTTTTTCTATTATATTAGACCTTGTATTATCTTTTCAGAATACTGTATTATCACTTATTTTTGAGGTGTCAAATTTTTGGTTTAATGAAATAATATGGGTTCATGGCCAGTCATGGGGATATAATTTCATAGATGAAGAACTGTTTAGTAGTTATGTACATGACAATTTACATTCCATAGTGGACATGAATTTGTGGGTCTTCATATCTCAAAAACAAAGAAAATTTAAAAAAAAAAACACAAAAATGAGTGATTTTACAGTTTGATTGTATTTTGCTTAACCAAGTACTATTTTTGGTAGCAAAATATCAGTTTCCATTTATTTTTCCAGAAACATGATGCTGTGCATCCCTCTCCTGTCATCGTACTTCTATGGAAGGTGGGCGTGGCCCCATTCCTCCTTTCAATACACACACATTACAGATGCCCTGTCAGTCGTGATTGCTGTGTACTTCCTGTATCTGACTGGGAAGGCTCTGTACTTGGCGTGGTGTAAGTGGGCTCTAGATAGACTTGCCCGGGGGGTGACAGAGATGTTAACGTGCGGGGAGGAGTTCTTCAGGGGGACCGGGAGGTGTCTGAGGCTGATACAGGAATCAGAACTCGTGGCCCGGGGCTTCACTCTGTAAGATAATTCACTGTATTGTCCTTACACGATGCTTATCATTTCAATCTGTAATATGTAAAAATACATTTATATTTATTAAATATTTCTGGTATAATTGAAGTACCACGTGTAATGAGAATAACAAACAATTGGCTTTAGAATAAGGTAATTTGGCAGATGATGTGGGAATTCAAAGATCTTAATGTGTGGATCATTGTGCTGGAAAAAAAAAACAGAAGATATTAACATAACATCTGTCACTGAATATTCTTTTAGTTTTTAGCTCACCTGAGCTGAAAGCTCAAGTGAGCTTTTCTGATCACCTGTTGTCCGTCGTCCGTCCGTCCGTCTATCTGTCTGTCCGTTCGTCCGTCCGTCTGTAAACTTTTCACATTTTCAACTTCTTCTCAAGAACCACTGGGCCAAATTTAACCAAACTTTACACAAAGCATCCTTGGGTAAAGGGGAATTTAAATTGTTAAAATCAAGGGCCAAGACCCCTTCCAAGGGGAGATAATCAAGAAAATACAAAAATAGGGTGGGGTCATTAAAAAATCTTCTTCTCAAGAACCACTGGGCCAGAAAAGCTGAAACTTATATGAAAGCATCCTGGGGTAGTGTAGATATTAAATTGTTAAAATCATGACCCTCGGGGGTAGGGCGGGGCCACAATAGGGAATCCAAGTTTTACTTAGAAATATATAGAACTGATCTTTAAAAATCTTCTTCTCAAGAACCACTGGGCCAGGAAAGCTGAAACTCATATGGAAGCATCCTTGGGTAGTGTAGATATTAAATTCTCAATATCATGACCCCCGGGGTTAGGGCATGGCTGCAATAGGGAATACAAGTTTTGCATAGAAATATATAGCACAAATCTTTAAAAATCTTCTTCTCAAGAACTACTGGGCCAGGAAAACTGAAACTTATATGGAAGCATCCTTGGGTAGTGTAGATATTAAATTGTTAAAATCATGACCCCAGGGGTAGGACGGGGCCACAATATGGAATCCAAGTTTTACATAGAAATATATATAGAACAAATCTTTAAAAAAGATCTGCATCAACCAAGTTACTCAGGTGAGCGATGTGGCCCATGGGCCTCTTGTTATATTCACTAATTACAGGGACTACTGTTATAACAAATACTCAAAACTGTACTTAAGTACCATTGTTTTCCATTAAGATTCTGTGCTAATTTTAGAGTGAGTCAGAGAAGTCCTCTGTGTCGACTGGAACAGAATGGAATGCTGGGATACCAAAGACAGTGTCCACAACTGAGACGGCAGCTGTTTATCATGTGTAGAGACTGTATGTTAACCAGTAAAGACTGGACCGGTCAAATGGTCACTCAGTAAGTCTTGTGTAGAGACTGTATGTTAACCAGTAAAGACTGGACCGGTCAAATGGTCACTCAGTAAGTCATGTGTAGAGACTGTATGTTAACCAGTAAAGACTGGACCGGTCAAATGGTCACTCAGTAAGTCATGTGTAGAGACTGTATGTTAACCAGTAAAGACTGGACCGGTCAAATGGTCACTCAGTAAGTCACATCAGATCACCTGTAGAGACTGTATGTTAACCAGTAAAGACTGGACCGGTCAAATGGTCACTCAGTAAGTCATGTGTAGAGACTGTATGTTAACCAGTAAAGACTGGACCGGTCAAATGGTCACTCAGTAAGTCATGTGTAGAGACTGTATGTTAACCAGTAAAGACTGGACCGGTCAAATGGTAACTCAGTAAGTCATGTGTAGAGACTGTATGTTAACCAGTAAAGACTGGACCGGTCAAATGGTCACTCAGTAAGTCATGTGTAGAGACTGTATGTTAACCAGTAAAGACTGGACCGGTCAAATGGTCACTCAGTAAGTCACATCAGATCACCTGTAGAGACTGTATGTTAATCAGTAAAGACTGGACCGGTCAAATGGTCACTCAGTAAGTCTTGTGTAGAGACTGTATGTTAACCAGTAAAGACTGGACCGGTCAAATGGTCACTCAGTAAGTCATGTGTAGAGACTGTATGTTAACCAGTAAAGACTGGACCGGTCAAATGGTCACTCAGTAAGTCTTGTGTAGAGACTGTATGTTAACCAGTAAAGACTGGACCGGTCAAATGTTCACTCAGTAAGTCATGTGTAGAGACTGTATGTTAACCAGTAAAGACTGGACCGGTCAAATGGTCACTCAGTAAGTCATGTGTAGAGACTGTATGTTAAACAGTAAAGACTGGACCGGTCAAATGGTCACTCAGTAAGTCACATCAGATCACCTGTAGAGACTGTATGTTAACCAGTAAAGACTGGACCGGTCAAATGGTCACTCAGTAAGTCTTGTGTAGAGACTAACTATATTAACAACATTTTACAGACACACTTTACCAGCTGACTCTATAATATATTATGATTACATTTTACAGACACCCTTTATCACCTGGCTCTCTATTGTAATTACATTTTACAGACACCCTTTATCACCTGGCTTTATATTGTGATTATATTTTACAGACACCCTTTACCAGCTGATCACTCCATTAATTTCCTGGCCCACATTCCTTTAGAGGAGTACGGACCCTGTTTGCAGGTTGAGGGAGACAGCTCTGGGACCCTGTCGCGCCTGGAGGAGGTGACAGATGGTTTCTCTATATCAGCCATCAAGGTGTGTAGAAGTTTAGACACAAAAAACTAACGGGATTTTTCTAAATTAAACCTAAATACTACTCTACCAAGGGCAAGAAGTACCAAAACAAAACATATAGTCATTTATGTAGGGTCAGTTTAGTACAACGTTAAAGTGCCAAGTTATTTCAAAAGCCAGTTAATGAGTTTACACATTAAAGGGGGGAGCGTCTCGTTGAACTTTCACATGGTTTGGCTAACGTCAGTAAAAAGGAGATTAAGAAATACAAAACAAAAATACAAAACAAGAAATGCTCAAGAATACTGTAAACCAACTTTTATTCGCGACGACTTTATTTCGCGATTTACCGGGAGTAAACTAGTTCGCGACGATAAATTTTCGCGATCAAACCGTTTTTGGAACTGTTTTTAATAGAAAAACAGACTTTACGGACCCGTTCGCGGCGAGAAATATTCGCGATGAGAAAGCTCTCGTGAATCTCGCGAAAATTTCTCGCACGCGAATAAAAGTTGGTTTACAGTAATAAGACGTGGCACCAAGACTATAAACTGAGAACTAAGTCAAAATTTTGATTTAAATCTGTTCTCAGTTTATGGTCTTGGGGCCTGATAGGTGAATGCAGGTTTACTGTTCAAGCTTAATGCTTTGTTCCAAGATGTATAGTCTACTTGTTTTGTTGGTGTTTTACAATTTCAACATTCCTCTATTCATGACAGGGAATTAATCATGTCTGTAGGCTGCAGTACTCGGAGTTCTGTAGATGTGTCGTTCTACGTGTACTTCAGGCTGTAGGTAGGTCTACACACTTCATCAGGTTATGAATATTTATAGTCCATCAAAGCTGCACATCATTTCATTTATCTCAGTTTTATAACATCAAAAAATATAAATGTATGGACCAAAAGCCATTGAATGTAATATTTATGATGGGGGTTACTTGTACTTGAAAAAATTCAGATTCACCAAGTAGCAGTGTTGCCCCAGAAACAGGAGGGATTCTTGAGAAAGTCTGGGGATGGATCAAAGAATTGGAGACCCTTCACAGTTACTACAGCAGTGTTACAAGTCTGTCAGACACGCTACCTCAAAAATCAGACCTCAGTCAAATGAATGACCTTGACATAGCAGTGCACAGCCTTGACCTTCATTTACAGGCAGCCTTACTGAGGTATTAATGAATGCAAGTCAGGTATTTATACACTGGTGTGATTACATGTATGTTTTTTCTGGTTCAATATTGCTTAATCCCCCCCCCCCAAGTAAATGAAATAAAATAATGATGAGAAACTACATCAATCTCCAGAAACTCTGTTGACAAAATTTAAAGCAAATTAAATTATTTTGTAATTTTTTTTTTGTTTGACACCTCAGGGTCAGGAAACTGTCAGTCCTTTTAAAGCATTCAGCCAATCAGAATACAGAGATTAAACAAGACAACCAATCACAGGAGGTCGTCTGGGATCAAATCAAACAGGAACTACTGGCTTGCAAAGGATGCTGGGAAGAAGGATTGGAACGACTCAACAAGTTGTACAAAAACCAGCCACGCCAGGGTATGTACTGTACAAAAGATGTCAGAGGTTCTTGTACATGATTTTCCCTTTCAAATTAATACTTTGTGCATACATAAGATTGTCTCTTTATACATTGTTTTGTTGACTAGCAGAAAAGACAGAAGAGGTTCCCCCTCAGACAGAGAATACTGAGACCCCCAACCCTGTCCCCCCAGAGGACCTGTTTAACACCAGTCCCCCAATCATAGAGGACGAGGTAAAAATGACAGGGAGAAAAGGGCAGTATTTTTAGCTCAGGAAAAAGCGGTACTTTATGAAAATTGTGTGACTCTCCATTTCAACTGAATTGCTTCAAAGTTCATAGATCACACATTTATATTAGGGAGTACAGATAGCTGCAGAACTGTAGTGTAAGTTATGGTTTTATATTAGTCTTTGACTATAATGCCACAGGTCATGTAATGCAAATTAAGTGCAATTTATGGCCTAAGATTTTCTCCATACCTTTGCAGAGAATTTGTCCACTTCCCAGCTTTGGTCAATAAAGTAATTTTCACTTCTCAATTCTAGACATATTTTTAGCTCACCTGAGCTGAAAGCTCAAGTGAGCTTTTCTGATCACATTTTGTCCATCGTCCGTCTGTCTGTCTAGCTGTCTGTCCATCTGTAAACTTTTCACATTTTCACAACAAAGCCATGATTGATCATATTTATATTGAAGCATTGTCAGGTAGTGTAGATTCAAGTTTGTTCAAATCATGACCCCCAGGGGTAGGGCAGGGCCACAATGGCCGACCAAAGTTTTACATAGAAATATATAGGAAAATTCTTTAAAGATCTTCTCAAGAATAACAAAGCCATAATTGATCATATTTATATGGAAGCATCCTCAGGTAATATAGATTCAAGTTTGTTCAAATCATGACCCCCAGGGGTAGGGCAGGGCCACAATGGCTGACCAAAGTTTTACATAGAAATATATTTATAGGAAAATTCTTTAAAAATCTTCTCAAGAATAACAAAGCCATAATTGATCATATTTATATGGAAGCATCCTCAGGTAGTGTAGATTCAAGTTTATTCAAACCATGACCCCTGGGGTTAGGGCGGGGCCACAATGGCCGACCAAACTTTTACATAGAAATATATAGGAAAATTCTTTAAAAATCATCTTCTCAAGAATAGCAAAGCCCTTGCTCATAGGACTACTTTTGGATTTAAACTTTTCTATAATGAACCAGATTCTACTTTTTCCTAGCCACAGTGCTCAGATGAGCGATGTGACCCATGGGCCTCTTGTTCTTAATGTCTTTCATATAAAACGGTCAAATTTAATTTCACTGATACTATCTTACTGATATTGTCTTCTTGATTCTGTGAAAATTTCATTAATTTTTAAATATTAGAAATATGAGAAGAATCCTACCTTAAGTGCAACTGTATAACACTATCTCTTTTCATTTCACAAAATGATTTTTACAAAAGCATTTGATGTTCGACTGTTTTTGAAAATGAAAATTTATATATCATCCATGATTTAGGTGTTTGAAGCCTACATTGATGAGGAAACGGAAAATGACCCAGATTACAGCTGGGACGAGTATCTCACACCAGAAGAAAAGGTAGATACATATACCAATATGACTGTGAAATTTATTTAAGTTTATTAACTCGCAGGTTGAAATGATGAATACTGTATACAAGGAAATTTTCACTCCTATTTTATTTTCGCCCTCTTCCTGATTGGGCGAATTTAAAACGGGGCAAATCAAAATTACACAACATAATATCTTAAACAGAACTATGAAACGGGGCAAAATTGTTCACAAGTGCAAAAGGGCGAAAATAACACGGGGCGAAAATAACCCTGTTTTCAGTACCCTGTGCACATGTACTGGTTGCTGTGTAAAAACTCATTTAGCATCGTGTCATTGTAGGAATGAAATGGTATAAGATGATTATGTTTCAATGAATCGCATCAAGATAATTTTAAAAGAATTAAATATTTTAATCATCCTGGATATTTCAGGAAAAGAAGAGGCGAGAGAAACAGGAAGCCCTGCGATTACTGACGGAGCTGAAGTCGGTGATTTCTGTGAGGGCACTGGAGATGGGAAGGAGAGAGAAGATAGCCCAGGAGAGGAAGTACGGCCATGCTACCTTGGAGAAAGAGAGTGTAGAGAGGCAAGGTTTGACCACAGAGGACCAAGAAGTGGGTCAGAAATTATTACAGAGGAGAAATTCTGACAATGATGATCTTCTTGAAAATACAAACTTGGATTTATCCAGTGTTTCTGGGAATGAAGGTGTTCCTCTGCATGGAGAGCTTTGTCATGAAGAAGATCTGAGTTGTGATGAGTGTAAATTAGCTGTGGAACAGTTAAAAAGTGTGGAGTGTGAAAGTGATCCAGACAGTAGACTTAACACAGACACTGACATTGATCATCAATGTAAAGACAGGATATTTACCACAGGTTCAGAGGAATCAGTCGATTGTTCTTTAGGAAGTTTTCGGGACTCTGTGCCAAGGATAGGAGTTTTACCTACACAGAGTCCAGGATTTCAGTTTTCTTCCAGTCTGGCTGCCATGGCGGTCGCTAGGTCACGTGACTTTGGGCTGACGGAGGACACGTTTGGTGACAGTGAGTCAGAGACAGAGAACCAGGTGAATGAGGACTAGTCCAAACACGTTACATTTACCTGAATCTGACTTGTATGGTCTGATGACTCCCTGTTTTATTGTTTTAGTACAATTACAGTGAAACTTGTCTAATACAAATTTTGAAAATTCTGTAATCTTGCCTTAACTTGCCATTACACAGGAAAATTACTCTGAAATTTTGTTCAATATTCTTTCAATGCAAATAATTCAGAAATATTTATGTTAAAATACCCTCTTGAAAATGTCCCCAGAAATTTTGCTATAAGAACACTTCGTATACATGTACATCTAAACCTTTTCAAAAATTTTGAGCTGTAAAGTTGCATTTCTTTCGGTTTGGCCAAACAGTAAGCAGCATAATAACTAACTAAATATCACTTCTAAAATGATAGAGGTAATATATAGTTAAGAAAAGATTTTTGAATTTAGTAAGAAAAAAGTTTGCGTTAATATGTATCCTTAAGATTTATAAACCCTCTGCTGATGCCCATTCAATGCTTCTTTATAAACTTAGGATTTTCAATAGTAAATGTATATGCTAAATAAAATAAAAACAATTATAGCATGGCTTGCGGGGCAAATTTTCACAAAATACTGAAATTAGGCACTTCAACTTGGCAAATTTACAAACTTTAAGGAATAGTTAACGTTGTTGTAATTAAGAGTAATCTCTCTTTAGTTATCAGAGTATCCATGTACCTCAGACCAGACTATTATTTAATCAAGGTCAGCTGGCCAATTTCTTTGAACTGGTGGTGTCCAGATAAGGCAAGTTAGAAGAATGTAGAATGTACATTTGGTTGTATAAAATCTTTACTAGTCTTTTTTGGGAATGTGCAATAATTGTTGATATATACATTTGTAATCTCATTCTCTTTCAACTTTTTGTTTTTATTTGACATGTAGTACACATATATGATAAAATTATCCACTGCATATTGAACTGTGGTTTTATTGTTTTGTGAAGTATGTAAATCAATAACAGGCATTTTTGTCACAAAAAATATAAACCCAAACTTAATAAATCATGTGTTTTATTTTTGTTATATCCCAAACGAGTTGCAGAGCATGTTTTTGCCATGTCTGTCAGTCATTCCTCAGCACATTGGGTCATTATGAGTGGTGGGTGAGAGGTCAGTTTTGCGGGTGTGACCCACCAAATGTGGGTCACTTGGCAGTTCTGTTCCTGTGATTGTCAGCATAACTCCTCTAAAAGTGACACACAGAGTACATGTATTGTGAACCTTTCTCTACAGACTATGCCTAGGTTTTAAGTGAAAAGTCTGTGTAATTACAACTGAAAATTCAGAAAGAAGACAGGTTGCTTTATAGTCATTTATTTTTTTGTAATAAAATACATCACAAAAAAAGTAATTCTGAACTTTACCTCCATGCACTAAAAGATATGAGTGGACTTTAAAATTGGAGGTCCAATAGAATTCAATACATTTGACACTTAGTTCAAGTTAGTTAGGTATCTACTAATTGTATCAAAAATATGAAATATGTAAATTTAGTGATGCGCACTGTACCTTAAATATTTCCACTACTGTTACAGTATAATTTATTACAAAGGTACTTCATTCTAATGTTTTTCTAACAAAAACATTGACCAGAGCACCTGTTCCTGTATTGCTATACAAATCCACAACAAGGCACACGGAGATTAAAGTCAATATCAATTAACAAAAACAATAATTAATATAATACGTAAATATACAATATAATAAATATGTGTAGAGAAAATATCCACTAAGTTCAAATATCACAGCTAAAGAAGAGAATTACAGGTTTAGGACATTAGGATTATTGAACAACAACATCATTAACCAGGCCAGGCTACGAGCAGCACAGGAATCCAATCCTGGGGACGACATCAATTCAAAATGATACATGTATCTTGGATTAGACCGATAATTTGGAAAATTCCATGCATTACACTTGGGTAAAAAATATGACACTGTGTTCATCATGATGCTTAAGTCTTCCTTGTAATGCTGTTGTCTTGGGAAACTTTTCCTTGGGTATATGTTCCATTCTAAAAATTCTTAGTACAAATTTCTATATGATAAATGGTGATGATATGAGTATAATGAAGGATGAATTCCCGCCCCCCACTGTCATCAGCTGGATTTTTCGGAGTCGGCCTTCTCCATGCTTTCGTCCTCCTCCACGACGACGTCTTTTGTCACAATTTTCTCGTGTTCTTTAATGACTTCCGTCTCTGTAATTTTTTCCTCGATGACCCTCTCCCCTATTTTCTCGTCGAGCTCTGGGAAGGTCCCGCGGAACGTGCTGCTGGCGATCTCCTGTAACTCCTCTAACTGTTTCTGTTGATTGTTGTCCACGCGATCCAGTCGCTGTCTCAGAAGGCGAAGGTCCTCCTGGTGTTTCTCTCCTAAAATGTAATGTTTAAACCATTAACATTACGACATTCATTTCTTAGAAAATCAAGGTACTGGTGAAATCACTTATTTTGTGTGTGATTAATATTCTTGTTTTACAGGCATTGAGAGACCCACGAATTGATGACATCACAAATTTCACATGCATTTCTACAAAATTTTCTTCAACTATGAAATCAAGTCCCTAAACAACTTTTTTTCATCAAACCTGGAAATTAATGTGATTATACAGAATAACAAGGCACTGGTGAAACATTATACACTTATTTAATGACTACGAGGTAAACAGTCAAAATGTTGTCCCGAGGTAGTGGGGGAGACCTGGGAAACTGTTGCCTGAGGCCGAGGGCAACAGTTTCCCAGGTCTCCCCCACTACCGAGGGACAACAGTTTGACTGTTTCACAGAGTAGTCATTGAATAAGTGTTTTATTACCTAACCTACTATATAATTAATTAAATTTGAATAAAAACACACAAACAATCAATAAAAAAGTTTTCACAACTGTTTATTCACATACTTGTCTATTAATTAGCTGAACACATAATATAAAGTTTCAATTAATATTTTTAATTTAAAGTAATACTTAATAAATTGATTGTTTGTGTGTTTTATTTATATTTGATTAATTATAGAGCAGGTAAATAGTGATGTCGTGATCATCAAATTGCTTGAATATCACGATGACGCTTTAAACAGTCAACAGTTCATTCTGTGGCCCGGTCAACAGTTCACTGTTTCATGATCACGCAGAAACATAAAGTACACCGTGAAACAGTTCAAAATGCCTAATTATAATTTATATAGTAGGTTAGGTAATAAAACTTACTGAACACTCAGATAACAAAAATTTGAAAACAGTTACTTTTACTCAGGGTCTAATAACAATTGAAAAGGAAATGTGTATTTGAGATTTTCAAAACAAAACGTAGGAACATACTAAGATACGACATTAAAAGCCCAAAAGAATACAACATAACAGACAAATACAGCTGAGAAAAGTTAGAACAGGATTGATCAATGATATTGTGTTCTAAACATCATAATTAATGATACTACTGTGTCCAAAGATGAATATGTATATCTACTGATTGATGGTTACAAGTAGTGTTGGCAACGAGTACCCGGTTAACCGGTTAACCGTCGAACGATGCGAGTATCGGTTAGTAAAACTGCTATTCGGTTACTCGGATAAAAATACATTTCTCATATTAAATATGTATAAAATAATTTTTATGTTATTTGTAAATGTATATTGACACATTTCCCTAAGTTAATGACCGTTAGGCTTGCTCTAGTGGTTCACAAATAGGATCGATTTGTTTTGATTAGTTTAATTGATGGCTTTAAATACCAGGAGTTATAATTACCTGATTTAAACTGACCTGTGTTAGAGGTACATACTTTATCAAGATGCCGCCTCAAACATCGAGAGCGTGGAAATATTGTTAAACAACTCGAAATCTGTCAAATTCAAATCATGTGAATCAGAGTTGTCTTATAAGGATGCTATATTATTTAATTTAGATTGAAACAATTATTTCGATAACCAGCGACTTGCAGGAGACGCCAAACTCCCCGTTTCAAGTGACATTAAAAATCAAAATTCTTCGAAGATATTGTGTGGGTTTTTTAAAGTCTGTATTTGTAAATAAAGTTAATATATCTTATATTTGTTGTTTGTTTCTATCAATAAGTAAAAGGATGAAATTAATAATAAATACGAAAACTACAACATAAAATCATCCAGTAACCGGGGACTTTTGGGGTTGG